GCAACTGGACTTTGGTGTGCAAGCCCAGCAAATCACTGTATTTATTTAGGATAGGCTACCGTTAATAATATTTGAAAATAATGAATTCCTGCTTCGGAAATACAGTTTCTATAGTTTTCAATTTGAATACTCTCTTTTACTGTTTATAAACTAAGCACCTGGAGACAAAATCATTCCCCATTCTGCGATGCCAGCCTTTACTACTTCCTTCACCATTTCCTACGTCATTGTTTCCTTCCCTTCTCATAGCATTTAAGTATTACGGATACATTAATCTAACTGCCACAAACGGTTCCCACACTCTGCGATGCTAAACATTACTACTTCCTACGTCATGGACGTGTTGTCAACTCTTTCCATTGCATTTTAGTATTTTAAATACATTAATCTAATTGCCAACAACATTTCCCACACTCCGCACTGCTAGCATTTACTAATTCTTTAACCAGTTCCTATGTCTTGGACATCTTTCCATCCCATCTCATAGCATTTCAGAATTTCAATTTCAGATACAGAAATCGAACTGTTACAATTGGTTTCCAGTTCCCAGACTCCACAGTGCTCGCCTTTACTACTTCCTTCACCTCTTCCTACGTCGCGGACCTGTTTCCCTCCCTTCCCATTGCATTTTAAGATTGCAGATACCTTAATCTAATCCTTATAAACAGTTCCCACACTCCGGACTGCTCGCCTTGACTACTTTCTTTACCACTTCCTACGTTTCGGACCTGTTTTCCTCCCTTCCCATAGCATTTTAAGATTGTAGATACCTTAATCTAATCGTCATAAACAGTTACCACACTCCGGACTAATATTTACCACAAAACTAATAACAACAATTAAAAGAAATAATCTGCTTGGAATAATTCGGTAAGGCCGCCAGAAATTATGCCAATCGGTGTATTGTTAATCAACGCTTAATGTTATTCATCGGACTCCTTTTCTTTTGTACTGTCTTTTGTAAATTGGCCATATGTGCATGTGCAAGCTGAGGTGCCCGTGGGTACAGAATGTCGAGTCACATACGCTACGATTCTTTGTTTACATCTACGTTGTTATCTCGTAACCATCATGGCAACTCATAAGACTCATGTTAAACATTGCAAATTTTATGTCGGTCTTAAATTGTACAGGTATCATCAATTTGAAGTTTGTTTGTTTCGAAACATCAAAAATATTTGTCGTAATACCCCTGGTAAGTTTGGATTCAATATGTTCAGCCGTTATTGAGTTAATTGATTACATAGTTTGCATAAGGTCCGATCTCAAAGAGCTTCGCTCGCTTCGCTCGCTCCGCTCAATTATGTGACTGATTACATCGGCAGGAACCATCAAGCGATTGTGGAGAAAGTCGAGCGATTGCCGGAAACAACAAACGTCTAATGAGTTCAAGCAGGGGTAGCAATAACTATTTGTAACTTAGATTACGAATTCGACAGCCTAGTATGTAACCCCCTTAGGTCACATTTATAGATAGCAAGAGAAACTAACTGATAAAAATGATCGTATTGTTCGAAGATATATCATATTAATTTAATGTTAAAAATAAAAAAGTATACTAATATTTTTTTACCTAATCTGAGTGCAACTAGATTTATGCCCTAGTGGCAACGTAGAAGAATTAACGCAATCAGGGTTAGAAATAATAAACATCTATATATTATATTCAGCGTAGTCGAGTATTATAATTTTAAGAAATGCAAAATGAATGGATACAATAATTTGACGATGTATTACGACAAGACAATTGTTTTATTAAAGTTTCACTATCGCTCAGCCTCTAGTTCACACGTGTGTGTAAATAGCCGAAGAGCGTGTGAAATGCACAGAGAAAATAAGAAAGTAGTTCAAGTTCAGGGTCACTCAAACCATCGGCAAGTAAACTTTTGTCTTGATTATTTTTTTAATATCGGCAAAATAACATTTAAATACGAAGTTCGTGTTTAGCAAAGGACATAGTTCAAAACGTGAAATTAAATGGGATGATTATTAAAAAAAGCATTGCGTTTCCAATCCCATGTCATTTTTGTGCCGTCTAAATAGAAATTTGGCTCATCCAAAGTGTTAGCCGGTGATACATATCTAATATTATAACGATTTTACTTCAAGCTGTTCGAAAAAGCTGACAGAAGCGATAAAACACATTAAATTATGCTTGATTTATGAAGTTGAAAAACTAATGTGCCTAACATCACCATTTTAACATCTACAATGTACTTGTAAAATAAATATAAATCATTAAATGCAATGGATTAAAAGTATAGATAACGTAAGAAAATATTGACAAAAAATGAGTAATATCTCTTTATGAAGATTTATAAGTTTTACGAGCTTAGTATACCATCCATCTTGATTCACAAATACCATGCGAAAGTGCATTGAATGTAATTAACACAGTTCCCTAAATCTCTTAGCAGCACACCATACAGAGCTAGAAAAAAATAAGAAACAAACCAACAGACCTCAATCTATACATATAACTTTAGAAAATGGGTTGCACTATATCCCATAGAGTGCAGATTTTAATTCAACAACGCCTAAAAGGGGTAGAACCAGGTTTCTACTAAACAACTAGTTTATATTAAACACTACATCTCTAAACAAATTCTGTTGTACATCAAGTTTAAATGGTGAAACAATAGCTGCACGTTTCACACATTAGTTTGGTTTAAAAGAAGGATCGAAATTCACTCAATGTATGACTGCTGTATAAGTCATATCGAGCTTCTAGCAACGTTAAACCATCGGACCACAACGAACGTGGTGGAGTCCCCCAGGGTTCCACTTTGGGTACGATTCTTTTCCAGGTCAGAAGAGCTAGAGATTGTCTCCATGAAACACGCCATACTGGTCAATGTAATTGATTTTATTGCCACGTTCAATAGGAAATGCTCCACTTACCACTGTAAAACTCTCACAGGGTGCTAAATCTTAACTGAGGAAATCATACGAAAGGTCCACCTTGCTATGCAGATATTTTGATAGACTATAACAACTTCTCGTTGCTCAAATTTATTGAAAGTGTGATTTTAAACGTCTCTTTCATGCAATAAATATACGTTGGCAACAGATACAAAGTGTGAAAAGTTTAATTTTTTATACATAAATATTTTAAAACAACTGAAGATTACCTATTTTGTACCTTTACGGCCTTTATTGTATTCTATGATGGACACACAAAGGCATTATATTAGAGATTTGGTTTAGTTTAGATACCTCAATAGTAACGTTATAGAGTTACAAGTTTACATCTGAGAAATTTGACCAAATTAAATTCCCAGTCAAATACAGGCTACAGATCGTTCATTTCAGTTAAAATGTCCGATGTCCACTTCGGTTTTCAGGGTCAATCAATATTAGCAAGTCACTACATCTATCTGCCTACAGTTCAAGCCAATGTGTATACAGCTATTGACTATTAACCACTATAGTCAATGATACAACTCTTGTGGAGAACATACTCTTTCCCGTAAACACTTGTAGTGCGGTTCAGTACGAAAACATTTTCATACAACCATATAGGTATTAGAAATACTCCTTTATAGATTTAACATACTTATGGATAAATTTAAGACAGAGTTTAGTGTGATCAGTGTGTACTTTCTGTTTCTGGTTTTCTAAAGAAGAACTAACTGGTAGAACTAACTGGCTTGCTATTGTAGATTTCCTCTTATAAAACACACAAAAAAATACATTTAAAGATTGTAATCCACCAAAAATCCTCAAGCAAAAGCTATAATTAGGCATTCACCTAACTCAGTACCATAAGTCACTAATCAAGGTTACCAACTGTGACTGTAAGTTAAAGGAAAACTTGTACCCATGTTTGTCACAGGAAGGATGCGTTGCGTCAGGTCAGAGGGACGAGTTCTCGTCCTGAATCTCGAGCGGCAAGACACTCTCACTATCATCAAGTCTCGTCTAACCGGCCTCAGGTGGGACAAACGGTATCAGACCGGCGGCGGCTGGCGAGAAACTCGCGTGGGGAAAAGTAATGCATAATGAAGCTGGGGGATCTCCATCATAAATGAAGCTGCGAAGAATTAGACACTGATGAAAGGAAAAAGTGGTACGAATGTTTCTGGAAGTACTGGTGAAAGGATACCGTACTGAACGTACCTTGGACATTAGATATTTAGCACTTCACTAAGTGCTATGGATGCACTTCTAAAGCGAGGTAAGTTGTTAACATAATAGGATTACTGGCTGTCAATAAAGTCACGATCTTTGTAGAGTTTTTACTGGCTGAAGTAAGCTGTTTCTTTTTTCTGTACGGTGAAATTAGACCCAAACCTGGACGTTCAAAAAAAAAGCACACTTTTGTCACCAACTTTTTCAGTATTGTCCACATATTGTATGATGTTCGGTAAAAATTTAGCGTTGGGTTTTAGTTCGTGGGCGGAAGGAGGGGTGGGGGTAATAGCTGGAAAATTGGAACTTTTTTGGTTTTTATTAAATACTAGCAGAGTACCCGTCCTTCATACGGGGATGGAAGTATAAAATGCTTATTGCTTTGCGTTTGTGATAGGAGAGGACACGATTTAAGACAATTTGGTTCTTTTAATTTTGTTCCTATTCATTATCTTGTTAAAGTAAATGGTCACAGAGTTACAAAATTTAAAAAAATGGATATTTTCGACCGTTTTTAACGCTTTAAAAGACTTGGAGGCAGCTACATACTGGTCGATGCAGGCAGTCATGGCAGGAGCACAAGAGTGTCGTCCGGCCACATGGTGTACACAAGGTGGAGGTCTCATCTCACAGCGGGGGTTTTAGAAGTTTTCCTCCTCTATGAGAGCTTACTGAACATAAAACGGCAAGGGACTTACCAGGATGTAGAGTGTAGACTGAGGAGATGGTCGGTGCAGGCAGTCATGGCAGGAGCACAAGAGTGTCGTCTGGCCACCTGGTGTACACAAGGTGGAGGTCTCATCTCACAGCGGGGGTTGTAGAAGTCTTCCTCCTCTATGAGAGCATGCATAAAACGACAAGGGACTTACCAGGATGTAGACTGAGGAGATGGTCGGTGCAGGCAGTCATGGCAGGAGCACAAGAGTGTCGTCTGGCCACCTGGTGTACACAAGGTGGAGGTCTCATCTCACAGCGGGGGTTGTAGAAGTCTTCCTCCTCTATGAGAGCTTACTGAACATAAAACGGCAAGGGACTTACCAGGATGTAGACTGAGGAGATGGTCGGTGCAGGCAGTCATGGCAGGAGCACAAGAGTGTCGTCTGGCCACCTGGTGTACACAAGGTGGAGGTCTCATCTCACAGCGGGGGTTGTAGAAGTCTTCCTCCTCTATGAGAGCATGCATAAAACGACAAGGGACTTACCAGGATGTAGACTGAGGAGATGGTCGGTGCAGGCAGTCATGGCAGGAGCACACGAGTGTCGTCTGGCCACCTGGTGTACACAAGGTGGAGGTCTCATCTCACAGCGGGGGTTGTAGAAGTCTTCCTCCTCTATGAGAGCATGCATAAAACGACAAGGGACTTACCAGGATGTAGACTGAGGAGATGGTCGGTGCAGGCAGTCATGGCAGGAGCACAAGAGTGTCGTCTGGCCACCTGGTGTACACAAGGTGGAGGTCTCATCTCACAGCGAGGGTTGTAGAAGTCTTCCTCCTCTATGAGAGCTTACTGAACATAAAACGGCAAGGGACTTACCAGGATGTAGACTGAGGAGATGGTCGGTGCAGGCAGTCATGGCAGGAGCACAAGAGTGTCGTCTGGCCACCTGGTGTACACAAGGTGGAGGTCTCATCTCACAGCGGGGGTTGTAGAAGTCTTCCTCCTCTATGAGAGCCGCTGCTGCTTCCTCAGCCGTTACCATCAGTGAAGACCTTCGAGGCCTAAAGAGATGAAAAACATAGAAAGTACAAATACTTTGAATATTTAGGCTTTGGCTATTAATACAAGTGTACATATTTCATTTTAACGTTATGGTAATGAAGTATAAAACCCGTATATGGACCAGCTGTCTTTATTAAATAAGGTCATAAAACCACGAGGCCGAGTGGTGATGAGTTTTCAAACGAAACCAATATCATAAATAATGTCTTAATAGTTTATTTTGTACCTTAATCATAAAAAATCTAATTTTTTATAATAATGAACAGTATAATATTACAAGTTGATAGGCCTATAACAGTTTTATATTATATCAGTTAGATGATTATTTTCGGAGACACTAATTTTATGACAGGTTATTATTAGTTTATTTGGAATTATATCGGAATTAGGCTTTTTAATTTAACTGTAAAAGTTCAATATGACTTTATTAAAGAAGAGGGTTAAGTAGAAAGTCTATTTTAAAATTAAGATATTGTATGTTTTATGGATACGACAGTTCGTTTTGATTTGACCTCAAAATTTGACCACACAGTCCACTATAACTTCTCTAGTTAAATAACTCAACTGTACCTTTAGAGTAATTGAAAGTCAATAGCATTATTTACCAGTAAATTGTTTGTAGGATTGTTTTATGATCCTGAAAGTTGTTTTGACCAAAACAGATGAAATAAATACTAACATATCCATTCCTACTTTTAATCGCAAATAATCATATTTTGTTTGATTAAAAATTCTAAATTTTACACCGTAAAAATGTTTAACATCTCTTATCATGCATTTCAATTCAGCATCAGACTATCTGTTTCTTCTTTCTGTTGTCTTATTGACTTATACACAATATGTATTTGATTTGTGTAACAGTCACTGACACACTGCGTCATCTTTGTAGGAAGACTCTTCTTTTAGCGTCCAGTGTTTACATTTTTGGATAAGGAAATCCTAAGGTATTCGGATAAAATGTAAATGTGATACTCTGTTGACTCGTGTAGTGTAAATAGTGTGAAAGCCTGCCTGGCTGATGTCAATCTTCCTAATGCACCTCTTAGCTACTTGAGCCTGTCCAATATCACATTTGTAGGCTGACACTTTGAATACATGTTCACAAAACGTTTATGAATCCATAGAGAATTTTAATAAATTACTGGCCTTTACAGTTAAAATTAGAAATTGATTTGGGAACTAACATATTAATTAAGGAGAAATTACCTTAGATAGCTACTGTTGTTTTGTTTATTTTGTTTAGTTTTCTAACAGAATATTTACAATATGGGTGTCCCGGAAATCTCTACCAATATTTTAGGGCATTGCCCCTGGGTAAGAAACATACCTAAATATCATATTTAAATTGTCTGGAAGTCCTTAGTTACTCACACAGCCGCCATTTAATTTTTTTCAGTTATTATGTTTTTCTAAAGAATGGTTAAACATACGAAATGGAAACTTTGCGCAAACATTTATGACAACCAGAAAAAGCTACCAAAAAATTATGACGATTTTTAAAATTCATAAAACAAAATGGCGGCCGTTTAAATTTTTGTTTCTTAAATGACTCAAAAACCGTTGATTTTACCAACATTTTACATGAATAACGTTTTTAAGGCAACGTTATTACAAATCGATCGACACCTTAATCTTTAAGATTATACGGGTATTAACTGAGATATGGCAGTTTTAGTGATACGTGACTGCTGGAGGTTAGTTGCAGCGCATGCTGAAAGCGGTCACGTATCACTAAAACTGCCATATCTCAGTTAATACTCGTCCAATATTTAAGAATAAGGTGTCAATTGATTTGTAATAACATTGCTTTAAAAACATTACTTTTGTAAAATTTTGGTAAAATCAACGGTTTTCGAGTTATTTAAGAAACAAAATTTTAAATGGCCGCCATTTTGTTTTATGAATTTGAAAAATCTTCAAACTTTTTTGGTGGCTTTGTCTAGTTGTCATAAATGTTTGTGCAAAGTTTCCATTTCGTATGTTTAACCATACTTTAGAAAAAAAATAACTGAAAAAAAACAAAATGGTGGATGTGTGAGTAACTAAGGACTTCCGGACAATTTAAATATGCTATTTAGGTATGTTTCTTACCCAAGAGCAATGCCCTAAAATATTGGCAGACAGTTCCGAGACACCCTGTATATTTAAAAATAATGACATTCAATTATTATGAGAACTACTTAGTTTAAAAGTATTATGATACATTTAGTACAGAGTTTCAACTTCTATAAAACGACATATTTTAATGAACCCTTTATTGTTATAGCCTTCACATTGCCGACAAATTGTCAAAATCCTCGTCACTACCCTCCATGAACTCAAAAATACGCAAAAGTAATTATTTAATTTGGCTCTTAAATTGAAATAGTTTTCCTCGTGCTAGGTATCATTGTGTATTAATGAGTCTTAATAATCATATCTCAATTATAGTCCCGATTTTTTTACCTGGCTTAAATTACACCAAAGGTGTCTGAAAACATTTTTTTCGAGGGTTTGTTTTGGTCTGAAATTCAATTACTATGGTTTTCTTTTATAATACTCAACAAGGTCTATAAGCATTGGTATAACCTAGAAGTATGGCAAACTAAAAATTATGTTATTTAAACACGAAAATGTCTAGTTTTTAAACGTTTTGGGGTTTTACAGTGAGTTACATTTGAGAAAATGAATCAGACGCAAAATACATGAATATCAATGTACTGTATTGCCTACTCCATTAAAGGAGTTAAGCTAGCTGAAATCAGGGGAGCTTGATAAGTAGATATTGTTTGAACTGCTAATTATTGATCAGTTAGTCCACACTGCCAGGATTCTTTATAGAGATTCATTAAGCTGGTATTTGATACATAAATATATTTTCCCTACAGTTACCTGACAAAGTGGGCTTCCTTGCACTGATTTTAGTACGCCAAATAGCTAATTGATGCATTTACTTACTTGTGCCGCACTCCAGTATTACAACCAAACAACATAAAACAGTTTACTTTTATTAGGCACGTAATGCGTGGACGATTCAAACACGTGTTGTATAGTGTTGGAAAGACTAATCATTTCTATGCTTTATAGTAACTGTAGAAAAAATATCATGTGTAACACGAGCGCAAATTGCTTTTGCTGCACTCGAGAAACTTTCCACCTCGCCTGCGGCTCGTGCGTAAAAATTTCTCTCATCTACAGCAAAGTGCCACTTCCCACACTAGTTACACTAATAACTATTGTGTAAAAGTACCAGATATTCACATTGTTTATCTCTTTTATTTCTGATCTCCGTCAAACACTCAATGTATTTTACTGTATAGTTGAGTAGCTGAGTGGATATAGCGCTCGCCTAGCAATTAGGATTTTAAAATTGGACACAACGAATTCTTTATGCTTGTGGTCTCAATAAATAACTGGCTAAAGAGCCAGTCGATCTAATACAGTAAGCTTTTATGTTATTCATTTATCAGCCATCCTTCAGTACTGTAGCTTCATATCCACGGTCTGCGAGTTGTAAACATCTGTTCTTATCTGATTACCTGTAAGGCTGAGGTATCTGAGCCAGAGGTTGTCTCGCTGGGACGAAGTAGAAGTCTGAGTGTGCCGAGTCGAGACCATTGGTAGACAAGGATACCACAGGGTCTGAGTCCTCAGCGTCGGCGCAGTGACGACGTAGGTAGGCGTAGTTCTCCAGGTCCCACGGGTCCACGTAGTTACGAGGAGTGGAGTCCTTTGAACTCCTGGAGTCCCCAGAGTCCCCGGCGCTGGATGAGGTGCCTGTGCTGTTCATAGTGCTGATTCGACGGTTTGGCGGGATCCAGTAGGAGGATGACGAGAGACGAGGCACAGGAGGCATTGGAAACAATATTCCAGATCAACGCACTGATGTTCTATGTGGATTATAGTGAAGTTAACACAAAATATTAACTGAGCGGAATAAGTAATGTAATATCAGTTGAAAGATACAAATCACATAACAAGAATATCACACGATACTACTGGAGGAAAAATTTTACCGGTTCTAAAAATGGAGCGATTAATAGTCCTTCGCTCTCGTTACGAGAGTACCAGAAGCACGACAGCGTCACGACAGGTGCCTGCCCGACGGCGGCCGCGAGAAAACTGACGACTGACGACGAGCTCAGGAGAGTGTAGCTTCCCCACCTCTCTCGGTGTCCTGCAACCCATTCAGCGGTAATTTAAACGATTAGATGGATAATCTTACAGATATATTATATATTTTGATGGCATAGCCCAGCTTGTAGTTAAAGTGCTGTAGCTGTGTGGGCAATATAACAAAGGAATTTTCACCACAACTCGCTTAAGGTCATAATAAATACTATAAACAAATATGACGTGCAACTGGTATGATGAACATATGCGCGGGCACTCCCACCCTAAGGACGTGTGCTCAAATCCCACTAATCATAAATCGCTATAACCCATGTAACATAATGGTAACATGCTGTAAGATCACCTATCAGAAAATGAAAATAATCATTCTCTCCCAAGAAAAGAAATTTTACTGTATCCGAGAACGCCCTCCTCTAAAAGTCACATAAGATATTTTATTTGATGATTAGTATAACGTTTTTAATTACAAGCACAGTGCTAATGCATGGTTCGGATTCCTCTAGATAATTTGTAATCAAAAGGAGTACTGGTACTGCCACAATGTTAAAAACTCATTAAAATGGAATACGTTGCTTAAAAGCTAAACACTGTTAATCAAAATGAGCACATATATAAACCGTATATAACACTATGGGAAACCTAATACATGAATGTTTGTGACGAAAGTGTTTCAGTTAAACACTCTATTATGTCCCAGTTTCAAACAAGGTGATTATTTAATTAAATTGCATTCATGCCTGGCTTGGCGCTGACACCTAATTACTAAACTGTAATTACGACATCAAACATCACAGCCACAGCCAGCTTATGGGAAAAATGTGGTCATAACCCTAAATAGCGATTGTTATAATAAAAAAAATGTTTTACTGAAAAAATAGTAATAAAAAAGGCATATGGTTTAAATGTTTTTGTAATCTTAGTGAGGTGTAAAGTTCACTGGATGTTACAAAATTGTTGTCTTTACTCGTCAGACTTTCTGTGAAAATAAGTTTTTGTTTACTTTCCCCTGCAGATATACTAGAGAGGCTTACGTTGTATATTGATTACGGTGAGGGAGGTGTATTCGTCATGCAGGCTTGGGGTTAAGCCCCGTTTATCACCAATGGTTCTTGGAAATGTCATAATTCCGAAGAGTGGTTCGGAGCCAACTTGAGAATGTAAGTTTTTAAGAGGTTGATGGTCTCTATTCACATGGGCCACAAAGGCCTAGCGTGGAACGAACCCAGCAAAGCAAAAGAGGGGCCAGTATTGTACGAGGGTGAACTGGACTGATAAAAAGTTGTGACAGGTTCCAAGATCTGAATCCACGACTTCACTGCCATGAGCCCAAAGTCCGCGGCACTACCGACCGAGTCACTACTCACCAAAGTCCACTTATATAAAAAAAAATATAAAAGGTCTTAAAGATAGTCTTAAAGGCTAATCACGCGAGTTGAGTACACTAATTTACCCTACGGCGGTTTTTGAAAAAAAAAAACACTACTCATAACGTCCAAGAGAGGTTATGTTTTCGTTTATAACCTGTCATTGCCACTGATTTGATACATGGACTCGTTGTCCCAAACACTGCCATCCATTACCCATACATTACTGCCAAACCATTGTATAATCAATTAAATCGGCCTTTACAGCTAATAAGTTGATGTTCAAAACGCTAAAACTTTAATATACTTCTTTTCTCTCAATCCTTGAACTTCATTGGTCCAAACTTGTAAATTGTAAAGTAACAAAACAATGCTGTAAAGTGAATCTTTTCAATTCTAAGAACTGAATAATAGCTATTTACCTTACAAGTGTAGTAAGAGCATTTTTACATCTCGTAAAAATCCTCGTATGGTAATCCCGTACTCGACTTCGTCTCGCACGGGAACGACCACACTCGTCCGGTAAACACTTATTTTCAGGACTAGTAACGTAATATACCTGACCCGACAATCATTTCATTTACAAACAAAAGCTAGGTTAGAAAAGTTCTTCAAAACATAACAATAAATTATGGTGTGGGTAGCCTCCGGATTGCGAATAATAACTATGATAGTGGTTTAAATACCTTATTCATGCAATCCAATTGTTGTCTCCACAACTAGTTTCAACCTGCTAGGAGGTTTCACAATAATATTAAGTTTACACTAGAAGAGGAGAAAAATAATTCCATTAATTTTCTGGACCTTACCATATCAAAACATAGTGACAGCTTAAAGTTTAAAATCTACCGAAAACCCACCTGCTCCGATCAAACAATACATTCAGATTCACACCATCCATTTTCACAGAAATTAGCCGCATACCATTGTTTTGTAAATAGATTGTTATCAATTCCAATGAGCACGGACGATTACAACGAAGAGATAAACATCATAAAACACATTGCCGTCTCCAATGGATACACGACCACGTTAATAGATAAATTAATTTTGAAACACCAAAACAAAACAGAAAAAGTGAACCAAAATAAAAAGTTCTTATCAGCTGACTATAATTCATGCCTTAGTAATAAATTCAAAACATTAATGGGGAAAAATAACATAACAGTATCCTTTAGAACAAAAAACAATCTGGGACCACTTCTGAAAGAAAGACCAAGTACAACTAAACTTAAATATGAAAAAAGTGGTGTTTACAAAATCAACTGTTCAGATTGTAATAAATATTACATAGGCCAAACTTCCCGCTCTTTCTCCAAACGCTTTAAGGAGCACATACCAAAGAAGACTACCTCAAAACAAACTTCAACCTTTGCCGAACATTTAATTTCTCATCAGCATAATTACAGCAGCATTAATGAAAACATGGAAATTTTACATACGTCACAGGACAAGTTTAAAATTAACACCCTGGAAGAATTCGAGATTTATAGAGCCGTCAAATCAGACATGGATAACGTTTTAAACGACCAACTTTATTTTAATTCAAACATCATATACAACACTGCAATAGAAATACTGGAGAGGGAAGGGGAGGGCAGAGACAATGGGAATGGAACCGACGAGCGATAAGAAAATGCGCGTGATGCTTGACCAGCTGTTTACCCTACAGTCTAGACGCAACTTCCGCATTCTCAACACGGGTCCGCTTGTCGAGTTTCAATGTTTTTATCGGCCGTATATGTGTGCGCACTATGTGTTTATTATTCGTCGTGTGTTTGTGTAAATGTAAAAAAACTGTTACTGACGACCTTCATATGAAGTAATTCATCCTTGTACTCACCTGATGATGACCTCCTAGCAGGTTGAAACTAGTTGTGGAGACAACAATTGGATTGCATGAATAAGGTATTTAAACCACTATCATAGTTATAACAATAAAATTCAAGCGCACAGCTGATTTCTAGCGTTGAACGTCGTTGGCTCCATAGAGATATATTTTTTAATTTAAGCACTCAATGCTATTTAAATGGGTTTCATTACATCACCGAGTGAGTTTTTTTCAACTTTACATCACTCGATAAGTAAAGAAGTTGTATGCATCACGCTTGGGATAGGGAAGTTTAACATGGCGGGTTAGGTAAAAAAATAAAATAAAGGTTTTGCTATACGGATATAAAGGCCATGCTATTTTTTTATACGGAAAGGTGACTAATATTTTAGGCCCCTAAAGGTGGAAAAAGTAAAATAAGTAACAAAGATGGAACTACAACACTTGGTACAAAGTCACTGGGCATAAAAACTAACACTATTCCATTAAATAATGGTCGAATATACATAAGAATAGTTCCGGGACAGCTAAATAAAAAAAAAATTAATAAAGATAGATATACAAAACTTGGCACACACTGGGCATTAAAATCGGTTTAACACATCATGCAGTGATACGCTACCTACTCAGAGGGACGGTCCTCTAGGAGTCAAAATTAAAAACGCAAGCAAAGTTTTAAATTAAAGGTCTTTGTTAGTAAAATACAATACCGCAAACCCAAACTCAAATGGACAACCGAGTAAGAAATGACATCCGTTCAAAGATCCCTTGGATTCTTAATGAAATTTTTACGCTGCCTTCTCAGGGGAACGGCTCGCTAGGAGTCAGAAGTAAATAATAAATTTAAGCATAGGTTGATATGAACATCAATGTAAATGTCGATCAGGGTAAATTAGACGAATGCAATGCAGCAAATTTGAGCTCAAAAGGACAACTAAGTCTCCAATGGCAGCCGTTCGATAATACGAAATTGTAAATTCAAGCTATCTTTGATTTGCTTCCATTTTGACTCAGTTTTCCGTTTGAGTTTGGACTTGTAGCATTCCAACTTCAAGCTTGTATAACTACATTGTTGTACTAACCACAACATGCATGGCATTGTTGTGACTTAGCATTGTATAACTAAAAACACCTTCATTTGATGTGCATATCAACCTATGCTTACCTTTAAGATTTTCTTCTAAATCTTAGAACTCTTAGAACCACAATAGACATAGACACAATAGACAATAGACCACAATCCTCTTTGACCTGTCCGTTCTCCTGAGGAGGTAGGATATCACTACTTGATGTGTTAAAACGTTTTAATGCCCAGTAACTTTATGCCAAGCTTTGTATGTCTTCCTTATTGTTTGTTTTAATATTTAGCTGCCCCGAGCCTTTTTCCATATTCGACCACACTCAATGAAGTGAAGACTAAACACCGATTCAATTTAAAAAGTGATAAAAGTACACATGCATACTTATGAATAGCTTTACATTTAATTCTTACCACAAACAACCAAACAACCAATTCAACTGTTGATATAATGAAAACTTCAACAAGATAGTTGATGCAAATTGAGGGAGATACATCATACACTTGTGGTTGAGATTAATTTGAAATCCAAGTTTAGAAAGTGAAGAGAAATTTCGCCCGCAGATCGATGTCTTCGTGTTACCGAAGATGATCTGTGGTGTTAGTGGACACGAA